CCGCTGAGCTAAATCCCCGGCCCTATAATATTATATTCTGAATGATAAATATAACTATGGGAGAGGCTGAGGTAGGAGGATTGCTAATTCAAGGCGAGCCTGTGCTACATAGCAAATTTGAGGACAGCCTAAGCTGTAATGTCTCCAAACAAATAAAACCATATGTGTATGTATGTATGTATGTATGTATGTATGTGTGTGTGTGTGTGTATATATATAATATAATTTATTATATGTATTTATTATTGTATTACAACTACAAGAGTAAAGCTTTTGGGCAAAACATGGTTTAGATAAGCCCATATGACTATCAGATGTCTCTAAAATATACAATCTCTTTGACCCACAATTCCACTTCTGTGTGCGTGTGTGTGTGTGCATGTGTGTATTTATTTATTTTTGGTACCAGGGATTGAACTTGGGACCTTATGCTTGTGAGGCAGGTGGTAGCACTGCTGAGTTAAATCCCCAGCCCAGCAATTCCACTTCTTAAAAAGACACCAAGAAAGTAATCTCATATATGTAAAAATCTTACATATGAAAACTGCTTTATGTTTATGTCATAAACTGCTTCATGTAGGAAAAAAGTTTATGTACACCAGCAAGAGAAGATACCTAACCTCCCAGAAGAAGCCAGCCAAGGGGCTTGTGACAAATTTGTCTCCAAGATAGCCCCGTCATTCCCAATATTCATAAAATAAAGCTATGTGAAAGCATAGAACACGAATTATACACAAGTTTTGGCAAATACTACATATGCACACACACAGGCACATGAATACACACATGTAAACAAAAACATCCATGTGTCGAGCACAGGCCCTGAAAGCTGAGGATGTCAGACATTCCCCTATAGGGCCTGGGCAGCTTCACCTCTCCTCTTGCCCATCCAGCAGACCTGCTATAGGGAGTGGCACTGTCGTGGCCCTGCGAAAAGCATTTCTCATCTGCTCTGGGGGCTGAGAATGAGAGATAGCCATGCTGCTTTTTCTGAGAAGGATCTAGCCCTTGCCTTAGCCCTCCCTCAGGGCTGCCTCAATATCAGTCCTATAAGAAAGGACCCAGTTTGCATGCCAATCCTACCCAAAGGCCCTGGAACTTTGGTGCCTTTGTAGGACAATGATCAGGGCTAGCAAAACCCTGCCCTTCCCTACCCTGGAAGCCAGTGACTGGATATTGGTCACTGCTTCAGTCAGGCCTTCACCTAGCCAGTGGAAGAGACCCAAACCGGGCTTCCTGATGGAGTCTCAGCAACACTGGCTTCTACAATGGTCAGAGTTAATCAGTCAGGAGCTAGACTGGCTGGTCCTTGAGCAGACTCTTCTTGCCACCAATGCCACAGAAGCAGGGACTTAGCTAGATGTGGACCCTGTGAGGTGACCTCATGCCAGAGTAAGAACAGGATGGATATTCCTAAGAGAGAAAAACTCTGCACAAGAGGAAGAGACCACAAGGGATCCTAAAATATCCTCTGCAAAAGGACCTAGGGAAGGGACACAGCCCTGCTAGTGACCTTACGCCAAAGAGCCTTCTGAGCTGGCTGAGGTTTAACCAGGAGCAGCTCTGTAGGGTGGTGTGGAGTTGTCCACTGAGTAAAGGGAAGCAGGGCAGCAGCCAATCCCCATGAGTGCTTCCCAGAAGCACACTCCCCTCCAGATTTGTAGAAGCAGCTTGGAGCGCTGTGGGGCCTAGAGCAGCACGAGGCCTTGGGGGTGGCACTCACTTCTGCAGCACCGCCTGCCACTCGCCAAGCCGGGCGCTGATGGGAAAGCCGTGGACAATGCCCTGGACCTTGGCACGCCACTCTCGCATGTAGTCCTCAATGTCGAACAGGAAGGGCTGCTGCCCAAAGTTGGCGTCCACAATCTCCCCAGGTGTCTGCAGGCCTACGGTGGGGTAGAGGTTGGCCTGAGGAGGAGAATGAATGTCAGTCAAGGCCAAAGGGCAGTGGGGTGGCAGGGCCTCGCTTCACCTCCATGGCTACTGCTGGCCAGTGCTGGGGCTGGAAAAAAAAAGAGGTGCAAGGTGGAAGACAGCAGTGGCTAAGCCACACTGTGTCTACTTACCCACCAGAGACACTGTACCCCAGAGTTTGAGGGAAGAAAGTAAAAGAAAACAAAGTAAGGCTCAATATGGAGACTCTCCTGCCCTGCACCAAAGGCCATAGTGTCCCCAAAGCCCAAGAGTACCTCAGCTAGGGTGGGCTTGTCATAGAAATATCCAGGGTCAAAGATCTCTTGATCAAAAAATAAAAACAAAAACCAAAAAACCAAAAAACCAAAAACCAAAAACAAGCAAGCAAATAAACAACAAAAAACTGTATGAGAGCTGGGCATGGTGGTAAATTCTTGTAAGCCCAGCACTCAGGAGACAAGGCAGGAGGATCATTAGTCATGGCGGCATGGACTATATAGCAGAGATCCTGTCTCAAAAACAAAAATGGGGGGAGGGGGACAGACAGACAGACAGAGGAGACACTATGAGAGAGCCTGGTATGGTGGTGCACGCCTGTAATCCCAATTACCAGGGAAGCTAAAGCAGGAGGATCACAAGTTTGAGGCCAGTTTGGGCAATTTAGCAAGACTGGCTCAAAATAAAAAGTGCTGGGGGCTGTAGCTCAGTGGTAGACTAGTAGAGGTTCAATCCCCACTACCAGAAGAAAAAGTTGTATGAGGCAGCAGGGAGGTAGACACAGGAGCAGAGGGAGGAAAAAAACATAATAAAGCATCAGGTGAGTTGCACTCCTTGGTGCTGGCAAAGGGGATAGAGAAGGCTGCTGCCTCTCCCGTCAGCTCACTCAACTAGGACCTATGGCCAATCAAATGTGTGCTCTTTCCTTTTTACCCCTCCCCGCTATGACCAGCTTCTGCCAGATCACTCCCTCAGTGCCACCTGTGGCTCCTAATGCCACTGCCCGCCTACCTCCTTCTCCATGTCACTATACATCTTCCCAGGGACCCCCAGTCTCCTCTTCACCTATCCTTAGCCCACAGGTACTTTCTGAGTACCACATGCTTTCCTGGGCATACTGGACTTAGCCCACTATCAACTCAGAACCCATAGACCTCTTACTTCCTTTCTCTTCCAGCCTCCATATCACAAGCAAAGCCCACCTCCTCCAGCCAGCCTTCCCTGACCATCAGTGCCCACAGGGATACTACCCACAAGTTCTAGCACTTGATAGCATACAGCATACTGTCCACATTCATAACTGGCCAATACATGTCATGTCTCCACAACTAGACTTCCCCAGCCAGGGTCAGAATTTTCCTCCTGAGTGTGCTTACTTTGTCTGGGTGCACAACCTCTCCTGGGGCCTCTAGGTGGGAAGGAAGAAAGATTCTGATCCATAGACAGGAGGTTCAGACATGACCCTGGGTGCCCCAGTTGGGCTTCAGAAGCCCTTCAGGTCACAAAGACATTTCCTGGAGTGTTACAAAGTACCTGGGATCCACCAAAGTCAGCGTACTTTCCTTCCTTCTAAAACCAGCTACGGCACACAGCTGGGTGGAAGGCCTGCATGTGACGAGTTCTGTGGTGACTCACTGTATAGGACTGGGGTACAGTAGGTGGGGATAAGCCCTGAACTAAGCCTGCAAAAACCTCATCCTTTTCTAAGAAAAGAAAACCCCACAAAGCTCATCTCTCTGGCTGGTGTAAGTGTATGGGGGAAACATTAGGACCCTGAATGATAGCAATTTGTGTAGAGATCTCTGATGAGTATGTACAGATCTGGTTTCCTAAAGTTCAGGAGTAATTCCCTACATCTGCATCCCCAGTCCACTGGCTGTAAGCCACAAGGAGTTGGCTCAGGCCAGCTAAGCCACAGAGCTACCTTCATTCCACTCCCACCCACCCCACAGCTGCCTTTGGAAATGTCAAAAATTTCTGTCACTTGCTAAGAGTTGTGGAGGAAAGTCAGGACTTGCTTCTGGAAAGAGGAAAGCCAGCAGGTAATCCCCTACTAGCACCCTCAAGCTGACAGCACAGCACACATCCCTGGTTGGGGAAAGGACCAGACTCCACACCCTGCACTTGCAGGTACCACTACCTTCCTCCCTGGAAGCCCCCAGCAGCCCAGCACCAGGAAGACCCACTGGTAGTACTTACCGGGAGGTCTGTGAAGGCTATACCTGTGGGAGGAAAGGAACAGCGATCAGCCTGTTAGGCAGAACCAATCCCTTAGTCTCCCCAGCTTTGCAGGCCTACGGTGGAGGTGGTGACCAAGCACATGGGATAACCTGGTAGGTTTAGGCCCAGGTTTCCCTTGGGGATGGGGATTGCTGGCCAGAATGGAAGTCAGATGGTTAGGTAATTGTCTACATCTCTTCCATCCTCTCAAAAGAAGTCTGCTAGAAAGGACTAAACCCAAGGGATCTATCTCCTCAGACCCTTCAGACCTGACCTTTCTCTTGACCTAACACATGTTTATGGAAACCTATTTTTATCTATTTATATCTGGGGATGCAGCATTCTTATCCCATTTTACAGATGAGGAAAGTAAGCCTCAGAGGTTAAATGATTTGGCAGTAGTCACAGCACTGTCAGAAGTAATGGAGTGTGGTGGGGGGCTGGATACATTCCTCAGCTAGATGCTTCAATGTCATCTCTAATGTGATAGAGAAGCACAGACAGGAAAAGTAGCAGCTGCCTATCTCCGGACCACACTCATTCAGAGTCCTTAGCAGTTCTAAGTCAGCAAAGTCCAAGTTCACAATGGTATGTGTACCCTCCAAACTCTCCTGTCAAGAAAAGGGGCTATAGGGCCAGAGATGTAGCCCAGAGGTGCCGCCACCTGCCTTGCAAGTGCAAGGGCCAGAATTCAATCCCGATGGGGGGGGGCACTAAATTTCCAAAGACTTCTGCCCTAAACTGGAAGTGAGAGTGGAAGGGAGTGAGACTGCAAATATATGAGTAGAACCTTGGATAGACGCACACACTTACAATCCTAGCACTCAGGACGGCTGAGAAAGGAGGATCTAAAGTTTGGGTCCTTCCTGGGCAACTTAGCAACTTCGTGAGACTGTCTCAAAATAAAAAAATTAAAAAAGGGCTGGGGATGTAGCTCAGTGTGCAGGCCTTGGATTCAATCCTCAGTACTACAAAATAACAACAAAGAACAGGACTGAGCAATATCCAATAGGAGAGGAGCCTCAGCATTGAGAAATGACACAGAACTAGTGGAGCAGAGCCTCTCCGGCCCGTCTATTCTCATTCATTCTCTCTCTCTCTCTCTCTCTCTCTCTCTCTCTCTCTCTTTTTTTTTTTGAGACACGGTCTCACTATGTAGTTGAGACTGACCTGGAACTCACAATGTAGCCCAGGCTGGTCTCAAACTCACAGAGATCCTCCTGCCTCAGCCTCCTGAGTGCTGGCATTATAGGCGTGCACTACCACGTCTGACTTACTACCTCTTTATCTTTGAGATAAAATTTTGTATCTTCTGGGAGCCCCTGAGCTTTTGGCCTAGGGGGTTTTCAAGCTGCTGACTCCTTTGAGGTCCCCAGTCTCCTCCAACTTTCACTCAGAAAAGAAACAGAAATCTAACAAGACAGCACAAGTGAGGTCTGACAACAGGTCTCCCAGAACAACCCTGGAAGTTTCCAACACTAATCTACAGATGAAAAACCAAGGTGCAGAAAGATAGTTTACTTCTTTTTCTTTTTTGGTACTGGGGATTGAACTCCAGATCTTGCACTTACGAGGAAGGCACAGTTCCACTGAGATAAATCCCCAGCCCAGATGGTTTACTTCTTTGCTGAGCTATTTGCTCCAGTGAGGGAGTCTTAAAACTCATGATCCACCTGCCTGAGGCCACTTCTGAGTCCCACATGCAGGGTCAGCAGTCACAGAATCTGGAAGCCCTCTATGCCCTCCAGTCTGTCCAGGAGCTGCCCCCATGGATCTCAAGTGTGGCCAGATGCTGTTTACTCCTGGGCTCACAGAGAAGGCCATGGAAGAAGGAGTCCAGGCTCCATCAGTTATCTGCAGTGTGATCTCTGGGCAAGTTACCCAACCTCCCTGAGCACATCTGAAAAATAGGGGTAATACTAATCCCTCGCCTCAAGGAAGAAAAAAGAAAATGAGAGTCTGTAAAAGTTGTTTCATAACTCATAAGGCCTAGGTACAAATTGGCTGCAGTTGGGCAGTAGAGTGGTCAGGGAATAACCTATGAAGGCCTGCCCAGCTCTGCCTCCCAATGGTATCCTGGAAGTATGAGGTCTTGAAGTGCTTCTAGGAGAATGAGGAAGTAAGTTATTTCAACCTCCATAGTGCTCTAGACAATATTTTCCCCCTAACCCTGAAAGATCCTGGAAGCTGTTGCAATGCCATTGTGATGACAAAATCTGAATTGGTAAACAGGAAGAAAGGCCAGGCAAAGATGTGGATGCAAACAGGATACCCAATATGAATATGATATGAAGAGCTCTGGGCCAAACTGTTACAGGTTTGGGGTCACTGAGGCTGAAATTAGAAGACCCTGTGAGAGAGCACAGAGCCATGGGAGGATGACCTTGAAAGCCAATGGACCATTTGTGGACCAGATATCTATCTCATTCATTCATCCTTCTACCAAGAATCTGCTGAGCAATCTAGGAGCCAAGCCCATAATAAGACTGGGGAAACAGCTGCAAACCTGGTCTTCAAAGTGCTTAAGTCCAGGGCTGGGGATTTAACTCCGTGGCATTGCACCTGCTTTGTAATCACAAGGTCTTGAGTTCAATCCCTGATACCCACCCCCCAAAAAAGTGCTTAAATCCAGTAAGAGAGATGGCATGTGACTAATAATTAGTCAATTAAGTGATGCCACACAGGGCAAGTGCTGTGACAGAGGAAAGGAGCAGAGAGGCCAGAGACAGAAAATGTCATCATGCTACTCTAGTTGGTGCAGGGTTAGATGCTGAAGCACATTATTATTATTAATATTATTTTGTACTGGGGATTGAACTTGGAACCTTGTGCCTGCAAAGCAAGCAGCAGAACCACTGAGCTAAATCCCTGGTCCAGAAGCTCATTATTGATAAGATGGCTTTTGAAAAGGAAACAGGGACATTAAAAGTGTTACTATTCATCCGTCACTCCAACTTCACTACCTTTCCACGAAATTTCATGATCTAGAAAATGAAAGGGAAAGGCCATAACCATTTTTCAGTAAGGTCTTATTAATAAGCTGGGCACGGTGGTACATAGTGGTAGGAGGACTATGAATGCAGAGCCAGCCTGGGCTACACAGTCCATTTAAGGGCATCTTGGACTACATAGTGAGAGAGTGAGACCTTGTCTCAAACTCATTCTCTCTCTCTTTCGATCTCTTCCCCCGCCCATTCTCCAACAAACAAAAGTCTCAATAATATCCTTTGGATAAGATGGAAACCATGAGTTTCAAGCTAACATAATAAAAATTCTTAAACAGCTGGTGTCTACCTGGACAAGCTCAACAACACACAGAAAGGCTCAATTCTTAGCTTTATTCTCTTCCAATCTTTTTTTTTTACAACAATATCTTCATAAAGGCATACTCAGATATATTTATCGAATTCTAGGTTAATATAACATTGAAAGGGACATCAAATATTTGAAATACAATAAGTAAAACCATAGAAGATCTCTTTTTTTTTGGTACAGGGGATTGAACTCAGGTCCTTATGTTTGCAAGGCAGGCCACTGAACTGCTGAGCTAAATCCCCAGCCCCTACATGATCTTGAAAGGATGGAAAAATAGGGACAATACCACTAAATATTAACTGCAACATGTGTGAGGTCTCACATGGAGTCTATAAAAAGCATTCATCAGGAGAGGAGTTTTTAAAAACAACCTGAGGGCCAGTCGTGGTGGCACACGCCTGTAATTCCAGCACTTGGAAGGCTGAGGTAGGAGGATCGCTGAGTTCGAGACCTGCCTGGGCTACCCAGTGAGTTCCAGGGCAGTCTCAACTACATAGTGAGACCCTGTCTCAAAAACCCTAAATAAATAAATAAATAAATAAATAAAAATAAAATAAAATACAACCTGAGTGCTGGGCCAACTTTAAAGTGGCTATGAGCTCCTGGCAGGACCTGGAGACCTAGTTGACAAAGAACTCATGGGCTTTTACTTATCCTGGAGCACATTTAGGGCCCAGAGGAGACCCTGAGTGTACAAAAATACTGAGAGTGCAGCAGTGTATTCATTCCCCAAACCTTGTGTCTCATAGCAGGTGCCATGCTCTGAGCAGGAAAGGAACAAGCTGGAAGGATGTGAAGGGCTGGTAGCCACAGGAGCAGGACTGGGCTCAGCTGCAGAAGGGCAGGTGAAGCAGGGCAAGGAATCAGAATAGCCAAATTCCCCTGTCCCAAGTTCTAATCCTAGGAGTCCACACAAGTACAGGACGGTCCCTCCCAAGAACCTTTCAGGCCCCTATCTCCCCCACTGACTGCCACCCTCCTATGTTCTTTTTCCTGGTAAATAATACCACTAGTCCAGCTACCTTCTTTCCTGTCCTCATGGCAAATAGACCTCATCTGTCACTAAGTCCTACGGGGCTGCCCTGGGCCTTTGTCAGGCCTGATACCCACTTCCCCACAGATTACCACTGCCTCACCTAGGCCACCTGCTTCTTTCCCCAGCCTTTCTTCCAGTCCATTCCATTTCCACCAAAAAAATGCTTTTTGAATATTAACTCTGCCCCGGTTGCTGCCCAGTAATCATGAACAGCCCAGAGGAGTTCTGTCCCCATCTGACTCCTGCCTGTCTGTTTACCTCCCGTACTAGTATAGCTCTCACTGTTGCTCCACAGAAACAATGACCCTGACCAGCTAAAGTCTTAGCCCAATCACAGGCATGCAAACACCCACCACCAACAACTATGTAAACTCATCCAGTGCCAAACACTGCTCAACAAGTGCCACAAAGGCCAGGATCATGACAGACCACTGTGCGTTCTCGGTTCTCATCCTGGGCTTAGTAAATGCTGCTGAATTGACAGTTTAACAAAGGACATAGCCCTGCTGGCCTCCATGGGGCACCAATGGCAGGAAATAGCTGCAGTTCCCAGATCTCAGTAAAAGCTTGGACTTCAAGATGTATCTTTTAGCCTCTCAATAATCAAAGTGGCTCCACAGGAAAAAGCCTCCAAGGTCCCCTATGTACCTACCAAGGCTGTGGCCATTCTTTGTGTAGAAACAGGTGCCATTGATGAGGTTGACACAGCAGCCAATCACATCTCCTGTGGTGAATGTGGGACCATAGGGCTGGCCAGTCCCCGAGGAGCAGAAGGAATGCCCATCATCACCATGGTAACCATAGGAATGTTTGTCCCAACCTGTGGGGGAAGAGAGCAGCAATAGCTGAGAAGACATAATCGAGAAAGGGACAAGACAGACACAGAACACCCCCTCCCAGGTCTCAGCCCTGTTCCAGGCTGTCTCAGTCTTAGCCAGCACTTGTGGCCACTCACCAAGGCAGGTATGGCCAGGATCTGGCTGTGCCAAACACACATTCTGGCAGTGAGTCCAGCAACTTGACACTATGAGGAATCAGCCCGAGCTATGGTTCCTGGGAACCAAAACCCGGAAGGGACTCTCCAGGTAATATAATAAAGAGACAGTGAGGGGAGCCTTATGAAAGACAGGGAAACTGACCTCAGATGTCTGTTGTTAAAATGTTTTTTAGACTAATAATATACCTACAGTAAGGGTCTTCCTTTTTAACAGTACAGTTCAAGCGAGTTTTTGTTTTGTTTTTGTTTTTGTTTTTGTGGTACCGGGGATCAAACTCAGGTCCTTGTGCTTGCGAGGCAGGCCAACGAACCGCTGAGCTAAATCCCCAGCTCTCAAGTGAGTTTTAACAAATGTATACACCTACTGAGATAGAACATTTCCATCACTTCAAAATAGTTCCCTCATGCCTTTTGCCCCTTACATTTGATCTACTCTACTCACTGCCAGTGGCTTCCAGTGTGTATTGATTTGATTTGTTCCTATAATTTTGTCTTTTCCAGAATCTCATAAAAGCAAAAATCAGAGTATGTCTATCTTATAAATTTGTCATAAAAGCAAAAATCACATAATATAGCTTTCTGCACTTAGCATAGCGCATTTGAGATTCCTCCAAGTTGTTAGGTCTGTTAGTATTTCATCCCTTTGTGTTGCTAAGTAGTACTCCATCTCACAGCTATACCATAGTTTGTCTATCCATTCATCAGTGGATGACATTCGTTTCCAACTTTTGGCTACTATAACTCAAGAAACAAATATTTAGAGGTCTTTGAACAGATATATGTTTTCGTTTCTCTTGGGTAAATACTAAGTACAGTGTACTTAGAAGTGTCATTGCTGGGTCATAAGTGTATGTTTAACCTGATAAGAAACTGCCAAACAGTATTACAAAGTGGCTATGCTATCAACATTTCACCAGCATTATATGAGTTCCATATACTGAACAGCAGTAGATATACTCAGTTGCTGAGTTTGTTGTTTTTGTCTTTCGCTTAGCCATTTTAGTAAATTTGCTATGGTTTAATTGCTCTGTTTAAAAAAAATTTTAGAGTCTATATTGTTTTGTTTTCTTTTATGCAGTGATTGTAATATCACTGTGGTTTTAATTTGCATTTCCTCAATGAGCAAGAATGCTCCACAGGCGGAGGATTTAGCTCAGTGGCAACCCGTGCTTGCCTTGCAAGCGCAAAGTCCTGAGTTCAATCCCTGGTACTGGCGGAGAGGGGAGAGGAGGGGAGAGGGGAGAGGAGAGAGAGAGATTCTTATCATTTTATTGAACTGTAGGGGTTTCTTGATGTGTTTTGAATATGAATCCTTTTATATATTTTGTGAATATTTTCTTCTATTTTATGGTATTTCATTTTCTTAGGACTGTCTTTCATAGGCCTGCTAGGATCATTGACTGGATTGTGTAAAATCTATAGATTAATCTGGAGAGTACATATAATTTAACAATATTAATTATTCTTATTTGTGAACATGGGATAACTCTCTATTCATTATTTTTATTATTGTTTTGTTTTGTTTGAGACAAGGTCTCGCTATGAACTCATTACATAGCTCAGGCTGGCTTTGAACTCATGGCAATCCTCCTGCTTTACCTACCCTGGAGTGCTGGGATTACAGGCCAAGACACCTGGCCCTCATTATTATTATTATATTTATCTTCTTTAATTTCTCTCAGCAATGTTTTGACAGATTTATCTATCTTTATGCAATTTCTTCTTTTTCGTGTGTGTGTGTGTGTGTGTGTGTGTGTGTGTGTGTGTGTGTGTGTGTCTGGTGACTGAACCCAGGGCCTTTGCACTGAGCTATATCCCCAAAGTCCTTTCTCTTTTTTGTTTGTTTGGATTTTTTGAGACAGGGTATCGCTATATTGTTCAGGCTGGCCTTGAACTCATTACATAGCCCAGGCTGCCTTCAAACTTGTGGCAATCCTGCCTCAGCCTCCTGAGTCCTGGAATTATAACAAGAGTACATCATCAAGCCTGGCTCATTTATTTTTTCTTGAGACAGGTCTCACACAGGCTGTATTCAAACTCACTATCCTCTTACCTTAGCCTCCCAGAGTGCTGGGATTATAAGTGTATACCACCGTGCCCAGCTTATTTTTTCCATTTTTGATGCTATTATAAATAGCATTTTTTTTTCCATTACTGGGGAATTAACTCAGGACCTCCCAAATGCTAGGTAAGCACTCTACCACAAACTACCACAAAACTATATCCCCAGCCTTAAATGTTTTTAAATTTCAATTTCATGGGCTGAGAATGCAGCTCCATAACAGAGAAGTACCTTGCTGCACTAGGCCCTCTGATGCAGAACAGAAATGATAGGCGCAGCAGCAAGACCTCTGAAGTAGACCAAACTTTAATATGGGAAGATGAGTGAACAAGGTCATGGGGAGAGGCCCTACATGGATGCAGGAGAGTAGGACATTTGGAGGGGCTGGTCTGCCTGGCTGAGGGAGGGAAATGGAACCCTCAGAGCAGGGCAGGATTACTTTGCAAGGCCTCCCAGCCAGGCAGCTCTCTGGCTTCTGCCTGCCTCCCTGGACTTTCCACAGCATGGCCAAGGGAACACGGTTAAATATATCCCTCTCTTCACAAACAGAACAGGCAAGAGCTCTCCCCTGGGTGGTTTGGGGGGATCAATTAGGGAAAAAAAATCAGTGGGGTAGGGTACTTGAGGAACTAAGGTGCTCAGAAAGCAAGATGGGCTCAGTTGATCCATCTGGACATGTGTTTGAGGCAAAGGCAAAGGGTGTGGGCAGGCTGTAAGCAGAGGGACAGCAGTGAGAAGGCTTGAATGACAAGACCCAAAACTCTGCCTGAGGGCAAGTAACTCCTCATAATCACAGTATCCATCCCAGGCCTTTAAGTACAGTACTCTGAACGTTCATGCCTTTTCAGCCTATAAGCCACTTGTTAAACAAGATTCTCTAGAACCCATGGAGGGAGCAGGTTGAAGCTGAATAGGTCGCAGTGGCGGGTCCGGTGCTCAAAGCCAGCTGTTTCCTACCCATATTTTCCCCTGCATCACAAGAACCTAACATGAGAACTGCTTGGGCCTGGCTTTAGAAAGATAAAGGCCTGCATTCAATTGCCCCAAGATGCTGGAACTGCCTGGGAGAGGGTACTACCCCAAGCACCAAGCCCACTCCAAAGCTGACAGCAGCACTGTTTCCCTCATCTGTGGAAGGCTACAGATGAAGGGTGGTCAGCTGGACAGCAGTGAGGAGGAAGGTGATAATCATCCTACATATCTGGCTCTGGCTGCTTGGTTGCCCTTGGCCAGCTTCCTCTAATTCAGGATCCATCCATCCACAGGCTGCATCAACCCCAGCAGTACCTCCCATCCAACAGAACATGGGGACTTCCCACATACAACATAGTAACTGACTACAATGTGGGACAAGTAGGGCCTCCTCAGTGCTGCTTGACCAGTACAGCTTTTCCTAAAGTCAAGCCAAGCCACTGCCCATTTCAGCTCTAACCAAAGCATCCTTCAGAGAAGCTGCTTGCTATTCCTATGGGTTCTCTCAGGCCAACAGGCTGGTGATGTCCAACAGATCCTCCCCCTTTGCCAATGCAACATGATCCAATCCCAGTATCTATCCCATGAGGATTTTTATGACATTCTTTGGTAATCACCTAGCACCCAGCCCGTATTCCTGGCCCACTGACTGGATCCTGCGGGGCCTCTCTAATCACCAACTACTGTTTCTGGGGGTGTCCCTGCCCCTTCTACCAAAGACCATGAGATCCCTGGGGCAAGGACCACATGAGCCTTATCACCAGTCTCCTCAGTGCTCAGTAGTTCAGGAGTCTGAGAGGCGGTACGTGTGCATGTGCCACTGGTAACCAGTGCCAAGTCATCAACCCACCTCTCTCACACATGAGGATGATCCTATCTCAGGTCTTTTATACAGTTTACTGTACAGAAAGTATAGAAAGTTTTCTCTTTTAGTTTCTCAGATTGAAGCAGTAGATACTCTAGAAAACCTAACAATGATTTAGTCACTTGACTGTTAGAAGTTAGTCAAATCACCAGGAAGAATCATTACCTACTTAGTCAAATTACCAAAGGATATCCAGGAGATACTTTTGTCATAGTGTACTGGGGGGTACCATTACTAACCAGGCGTGGTGGTGCAGGCCTATAATCCCAGCACCTGGGAGGCTAAGACAAGATGACTCTTGCAAGTTTGGGGCCAGCCTGGTCTACATAGCAAGTTCAGGACGAGCCTGAACAATGTAGTGAGACCCTGTTTCAAATAAACAAATCAACTAGACCAAAAAAAATTACCAAAACAATAAATGCCTAAATGTTCAAAGACCTTAAATAAAAATGTAAATAAGCTTGAATACATTTCTTTAAAAATTATATGATTATCTTAACAATACTAACATAGAATTTTAGATTTTTTAACTCTGTAAGTATGGCTATAAATACAAATTTTAAATTTAAAGAACAGAAGAGCTTGATAAAAACTTATTTTATCGATTTATACAGATTTGTGCCAGGGAAGAAAATGGACAGTACCTCAGATAGGCTTAATAAGTGTCCCTAAAGATGTCTACAGCCCAACCCCAGCACCTGTGACTATGTTTGCTACCTTCTGTGGTAAAAAGGATTTTACTGAAGTTATTAAATTAAAGCTCTTAAAATGGGGAGATAATCCTGGATTATCCAGAATTGCCTAATATAATCGTAAGGGTTCTCGTAAAATGGAAGGTACCAAACTACTGGCTTTGAAGACAGAAGAAAGGCCTATGAGTCAAGAAATGCAAGTGGTCTCTAGCAGCTTTAAGGAAAAAAAAAA